AGAAGCTACTAGGGGCTCCTGGCCTTACTACTAGGAGCAAGAAGCTACTAAGACAAAAAACTACTAGGTGGAGAGCACCCTCCAGGGTTTGACCCCGAGGCGGAACCCATGCCGTGAGGCGGAGACGTGAACCATTCCTATCAGGGGACGGGATCCCCATTTGTGACGACGTGAACCCATTTTCATCTATTCTATTCTCCCTTCTGCCAAGGGTCTGGGGTCCTGGGATTTTTGGATTGCTGGTCGCCGACTACAGAGTCAGTGCTTTTGGCAGACTCTACTTCAAAAGATCTTTTCCATCCCTTGAGGGCAAGAGCTGAATATGCTTTTTTGCTCTCCCACTTCAGGCAAGAGCGTGAGCGGCTGATGCTGGAGCGCGAGCGCGAGGCCTTGCGCCAGGAACGCGAGCAGCTGGAGCGTGAGCGGCAGGCCTCTGGCGCTGGAACTGCCTCCAGCTCGGGCGCGCACCACGCGGAGGGTGCACGGGCGCAGGCGTGGGAGTGAGGACAGGGATGGATATGGTGGCGAAAAGTGTGTGGTGGATGCTGCGTATAGTGCTGGCCTGACCCCTCTGATGGGGTGTTTTCTTTCCGTTCCTTTCACCACTTGCGCTGCACTCGTAGGTGCTGGCTGTGGGCAGCTGGGTGCGTATCCAGGGCCTGCAAAGTGCACCGGAGCTGAACGGCCGAGAGGCCAAGATCGTGAGCTTCGATCAGGCCTGGCCCGATCGACGCGGCCACGGAAAGGACCGATCCATCGGATCGAGTCCGCCCAGCGGTCGAGTGGGATGCGGTCCACGGGTGTGTTGCTGAGGGAGGACATGGTCGATTTCGGACTTGGGGTGAGATGAAACCAAGAATGACTAAAAGAGGCCTAGGAATTCTGTCAACACCAGGCCTCGCAATACATAATACAGTAACACTTGTATTTCTAGAATCCGACAGTTCCACAGTCTCGCATGGTCAACCTCCAATCGACACCAGGCACTGATGCGATACGTTGTTGAGCTCCGAGAAGGAGGATTGAAGCCGCTCGAAAGATTGCATTTTCCCTCACAGCACATCCTGTTGGCCTTTGACCCATGTTTTTCAGTCTGGCCTGGTATCCCCTGAAATCTTTCTAAAAGCTCACATTTCCGATGTTCTGATTGTAGTGTTCCAGTGATCTAGGCTGTCAGTGCGGATTTTGGATGGAATGGCATTGCGCCAATTTGCGCCTTCCCCTCAAGCCCCTCCAGCCGTTTCAAGGGCAACGTACCTGACAAGTTTAAAACGAACCTTTTTGGAGAGTTCTTTGGATCACATTTCATATTCCTGAGGAGACAGCTGCCCATTCATCTCTTTTTCTTTCCTCTGCCATTTCCTTTACCTTTTCGTTGTTCTCTTCCTTTTCCGCTCCTTTTCTTCGTGTTTCCTTTCCGTTTTGGTTCCACTACAAAGATACCAACTCCAAATCTTAAAGGTTTTGTCATACCAGAGGACCCACACCCAGCGGCTCTCCTCACCTCCACCGAAGCTTTCGCCACTTCCGCAACGCGCTGAGGAAGATCAAAGAGTCGAATTTGGCTGCGGTCGCCGCGGATGCTTCGACCTGGTTCCTGACACATCGAAACGCGTGCCAAAAAACGGAGGGCGTGTCAGCTGGGACCCCCTCGCTTTGGGCCGTTTTCCCTTCTCTCCGCATGGTGGACGGAGGATGAAGACCATCCCCCAAAGAATCATGGGCACGGCCAGTTTCACTGCCAGTGGTTTGGAAGATGATGTCCCTCTACTGCTTTGACAGTTTCTATGTTAGTTTTTGGTTGTGGGGTTCACGAATCGTGATCCACAGGTATTCGCTGTATATGGAACAATGCATCGGCTGTGAACATGTGTTGGACAAAAATACAGTTAACTGTTTATGTATATGTGTGCTTGTACATATCATTTATGTTCCTTTCTTCTTTTGGAGGATCCCTCACAACCAAGTGACCGAACCAGCTGTGTGAATGGGGCAAGCTGCTCTTTTGGAGCAGCTGCTTCGCTTGGCCCCATTCTTCTGGTGTCACCAGGTTCCAGCGGTGCACCTCCATGGCAGAGAGGGCGGGGCGTCATGTGCTCAGGGGTCGTCATGTGCGCACATGGTCGACACATCGTCTGGTTGAAACGGATTTCAGTAGCGTCCTTGCTCCTAGTAGCGATGCCAGGAGCCCCTAGTAGCTTCTTGTTCCGGGTAGTAGTAAGGCCAGGAGCCCCTAGTAGCGTCCTTGCTCCTAGTAGCGATGCCGAGGTCCAAGGCCCAGTGAGGCTGGTAGGTCTTTCCAACACCCTGGAGGTGCCACGAAACTCGCCACACCTAGAGTCGAGGAAATCCCTGCTGTGGATCTCCGGGGTGCCACAGGGGAGACGTCCAGTTGACCACCGGCCCACGCGTCGTTTTTTTTTTCTTTTTCCGAAACGGCGGCTCCCGTTGCCACGGTGGTGTTCCAACGATTGCCACGCTTTCCGTACAGAGTAAACCGTGACCTGGACCTAAATGGACCGAGCAGAGTTAAACTCATATAGACCTATTGTATAAAGAATGTCAATCGAATGGATTAGGAGATGCTGAGCTTCTCCAGACTTTCTGTACCTCGTTTTGTTCCCCAAAGAGTAAGCTCCCAAGAGTAGCGACGCCGCGTCGCATGTCAAGTCGTCGCCCAGGATCGCTGAAACATGGCTGCGCCAAAGCACAGGCGCGCTGTGGGTCGGTGGGTTCTACTCTTAGACCTCCCTACAAAGGTCTTCCCCTAGACTCTTAGACCCCTATCTTACCCCTCCTAGACATCCCTATTATGCTCTTAGAGTACTGATATGGACCCAGGAACTGGCAGGAAGAGTACTGATTGCATGGGATTCAGCTTGCGGCCACCGGAAGCATGGCCGGCTGAAGTCGGTCTGAGACCGACGCGGGGCAAACGCCCGTCGCGGCGGTCGCGCCGCGCCGGCGCCTCGCCACGAGGTGTGGCTCGCGGAATCGGGCTATGAATGGTGGCAGATTCTGCTGGGAGTGGCCGTGGCACCTTGGTAAACCTTGGTTCAGAGCAAGTCGGCGTTGGAGTCACCATGCGGTGCCACTCACTGCCCGCCTGCCAAGATAGGGCGGCTGATTCCAAAGCGGGAACTGTTCCACGAAACCGACTCGGGGGGCTTAGGATTGCCTTGGTTCAAAAGCAGTTTGCTGAGACGAAATGAGTGGAGGACGAACATGGAAGTAGGCTTTGGTGGCCATTGGGAGGAGAAGGTCATGTCAGCCGGTTGGAGAAGGTCATGTCCTCCGCAGGGCCACTCTCTTGGTGAAGGTGTTTTCGTGAGGTTGGTCGACCTGTTGAACATGTGGAGATTCAGGACATCGATCTGGATCTTTTGTTTGGAGGTTCAGCGAGCTGGGTTTGTTTGAAGAATAAGCATCGCCATCGTTTGGCAGTTTCAAACCACAATGCAAAACCAGCTAGTAGTCTGATGCATTCTGAGGTTGTTCTGGTGGTGGTGTCATGGATGCAGGCCAGCTCCAGATATAGGAGCCATGTTGCTGCTTCCTTGGTGTAAGCGTCAGATCTCAGCTGTTCTTCTCTGGCATTCCTTCAAACCAGTTACTGTATTTGCTCGTTTGGCAACATCCATTGCACCATCCAAGACTGTTGAACGTTCTGTAAATGCTTTAGTGCTGTTTGGGAACTTTGCCCATCTCCTGTGTTTGCTCGGTGGATTCGGTGCTTCTAGGTCGGTGTAAGCCTCATCGGCGGATTCGGTGCACGAAGCGGACCAGCAGACCGTGTCCGGTCGACCGGCGAAGGGAACCAAACGAAGCAACGACATCCGGCGGACCGAGACAGTGCCCGGCGCTCCGGCAAGCTCCGGCGGTTCGATGCAAAACCTCAGAGTTCCAACGATTGGTTCAGTCCACAAACTCCTCCGTCGAACTCTCCGCGAAGAAGGGGCCACTGGTTTTCGGAGGTTTTCGTCCGATCGACATCTGGGAGGATGGAACTCGTCCAGGAGCAAGGCCCCCGGTGCCAGCGCTGGCGGCGCCGGCCGCAGCCGTCCAACACGATCATCGTATCGTCCCTTGCAGAGCCAAACACGGGGGATGAGCCGTATGAGCCCGCAGAAATTGGCCAAGTCTAGTTTGGGATCATCAAAGTTTGGACCACTTCGAGGGACGGCATTTCCTTCATCATGTGGACGGTTCAGCCGGAAAGATGCCGGGATAGGGCATCGGGTGGCGTTTCTCGATCTACACATATCTACACCATTTTCGGCGGTGTTCATGCTTTATCCTCTTCCTGTGACGACCACAGTACATGGGTGTCAACCTCCCCACGAGACCAGCTCCATGTTTGGAGCATTTGTTTCCATCAAATGGCCTCCAGAGTTGAGTGTAACGTAGGAATAGATTCATTCGATTGAAACGATTCATTCGATTTGTGGGGACGCACCGCCAACCAGGTGATGACTATGATGACTACAGCTATCGCGAGGACTATAGACACTTGGCTACACGCATGTTTGATGGACAGCTCTTCCTGCAGGACCTTTGGTATACCCTGCTATGTCGCGTTGGTGACAAGAGAATTGAATACTCAGGGCATCCATCAACTGCAATAGATTAGAAGTTTTGAGCTTTGATAACACATTTTCAAGAATTGTAGCTGGTGTTCTGCTTTTCCTGGAAGTTTGGAAGGAAGGTAACATTTGGCTGGGACGGTGGAACCAGGTCTTTAAAGTGGGTGATCCCCAAATGGTTGGGGTCTTTGGTCGATGAGACAATCTCAAGCGCAACAGATGAAGCAAACTGGTGCAAACAACGCGAGACACAAACGTCGTAGGGGCAACAAGGCTGAGTAGCTGGGATCCTCATAGCGATGGCCTCCACCGTAGTAACGATGGCTGAGGTTCCTCCTACTGGGATGATGGTGGTGGAGGCTGGAGCTTCGACTTCGGAGGCATGCAGATCCTTGGCGTTCGCATGAGGAACCGATCAGTTGGCAGTCGTGCCTTTTTGTTATCTATTTATTTTACTATTTTTCCTGAAGGGTGTTGTTCATTCCACAATGAGACCTTTGAACGAAAATGGAGCCATCGATTCACCAAAGATTTACATCTGAATCACTTGATCACTTTGTTGTCTTCAGCCTTCGGTCTGTCTATCTGAGAATGTTTCTCCTTTTTGGGTGGGAGAGCATCCTCGATGAGGGTCATGAAACAGCTGCCAGTAGCAATCGGCAGTGAGTAGCGGCCGTGAGGCAGGTGGATTTGAGGGGTCCCGGTCCCGTAATGATGTTTGTGGCTCCCGTCCTGTTGTACATGGAATCGGCGGAACCCCCGCTAGTTGGTGGGAAGCCAAAAAGGGCGGGATTGAGATGCTTTTTTCCACACCCGGGTCACTTCATTCTTTGCTACCTTTGAGGCTGTAGCATGTGCTTTTTCAATCTACTGACTGCTGATGAAGACTTCTGCAGGAGTAGTTGGTGCTTTCTTGGAATTTTGGATGCTTATACCTACTGTAGGAATAAGAACACCCGGCAGCAATCGGATGTCCGGCCGCCTTCTGCATCATAGGCTGCAATGCTACAAGTCGAAAGTTCCGGCTATTCCACGCAAATCGGAGAGCCAAACTGTCAACCGGAGTTTGTGGCCACTGTTGCATCAGGAAGTACCTTTTGCTGGGTGGCTTGGCGTTCCTCTGCTGGAAGGGCATCATTCCAGTACACCGGATGGACTTCTGGGCTGCAGGAAGCAGGGCGTTCGCCATTTTGGGGCGGTTCCCGCCCAGCCACCGGGGACACCAGGTCAGTCCACTGTTGATTTTCTCGAAGCACCCAGGATTCGAAACAACTATCCAGAAGCACATCATTGCCATTGCCATGTTCAATGACCATACTGCGTTCAATGACCATACAACCGAAGGTATCGCGAAAGAACTGGCTGCTTCGATGATGGTGACCGGTGAATGTCAAAGCTGGCCAAGTCGAATCGATGTCGTCACGACGAGGTGTCTCTTGATGGCTTCGGTGACACCGACAACCCCCAAAGAAGACCTGATCATGTCAGGGGTGCTTTTCATCCCAAAACCAGCACACACACACACACACTGCCCCACGAGTTCCGCGCGTGGAACGTAAGGGAGCACGTCGTGTGTTACATGCGTTTCAGCTGCAGAAGTAAGGAGCCGCGTGGTGCGGCTCCTTCTGATCCAAGGATTGGTTCCAACTGTACATGCTCTGGAATATGATCCAATCCACTGGCATCTTAGGCCGAGCGAGACCCTTTTTTCGGAGCTGTGCTGAGTTTGAGTGCCTGGGTTTTTGGTTCCGCTGTCAACAGAGTTGTTGGCATTGTGGAACCAAATAAGCTTTCTCTCTTTAAGGCCCATGGAAGGCCATTCGGCAGTGTCTGAACTATCAGAACCCTACCCCAAATGCCTCGACGTCGAAGTCCACCCTCTCGGTCCTTCGGGGCTCTTGAACCGAGTTTGGAAGGCGGTGGCGGTGGGCACTACGGCTACGGGCGGAGGAGACGGATGTTCTTCTAGACCAGGTGGAGGCCAACTTGGCGGTCGTTCAGGACAGGTGTGGCTCAATGTGAAGCCCAGATGGAGAAAAGAGCTGCAGGTACTAGGAATCAATTCCCAGTGTGGAACATCATTTTCCATTGTCCATGCTATTTCAATAGGCTGGGCTGAAGATAGTTTCCAAAGTTCAAAGCGAGTTATTGAGGTGTGGATACCAATTGGGTGTGACTGTGAAAACTTGAAGATGCTTTTGAGGTGCAACTTTGGGCGAGTTAGTGATAGTGATGCAGAAAATGTAAGTCGTTATCATGGTGGCATCGTTTGCCAGCAACTTGTTTCGTCTAGAGTCTAGATCGACGACTTGAAGAAGATGTCCGAAAAGCTTCTTGACATCCTCCAAAAAGAGCCTTTTCCGGACGCCCTGCCTTCAATGACTTTTTGCTTGGTAAGTGGCAAAACCAGGAGCTGCATGCTGGTTTCTACTGGCTTTCGTTCACCCCTTCTCAGGTGTTTCTACCGATGGGTTTGGGGTGTATCCTGTTCTTGTGCCATACCTTCAGTCAAGCTGTGGGGCTGTGGGTCATAGAATAGATGCAGTGTCACCTCAAGCCATTTTCCTCTTCGCCCCGGAAGTATAAGGCCCATCTTTCTTCAGCAAAGAGCATTTAATTTCTCCACGTTTTGACCCTTCGGCAGTCCATTCTCCGTCCAAAGCACCGGACGTTCCACCGGAAGAGGTGCTCCGCACAGCCAGAAACTGCACAGCCGCGGCGTGGCGCCCCTTGCGTCGGCGGGAGGAAAGAGGTGCTTGAGCTGGCAGGCATTCTTTAGTCGCTGAACTTTCGACGTCGGGCCTCACTATTGGGTGAGCATGGGCGTTTCGACTATTCCGTTGATCTCTACAAGATTTCGCACGGGTATAGAGTGCAGTCTTCTTTGTCGTTTTGTGGTGCATACATGCTTGAACAATAGGACACAATGTTCTTTTCTTCGAAGACAGTCTACTAGACCAGACCAGAGCAACATCACTTGCGGCGGAGTGCTCCAACAAACTAACTAATTCTTGCTTGCCATACTGCTCAAGGCATTTGCAACCGGAATGAAGGAATAGGCCTTGTTGGCATTGTTGCCCAGATCTCGTCGTTGAATCCTGCCAATCTACTTATTCATGGTTGATGAGTAGTTTGTTGACTCATCCTTGATCTAAGCACGTTTTCTGTGCCAGCACGACATTTTCTGATTTCTCTGGATTTGCGTTCTTAGCGAGCTGTGACATCTTAGGTTCTCAGCATCCAATCAGTTGCGATGTTCAGGGACTGGAGCGCAATCAGACCTTGTAAAATGTGCCAACTTTGGGCATTCGAGTGGCTATTTACCTAGGAAAAAGAGACACCCCGAAAGTGGCACAAGAGCTCTGAGGAAGGAAGGGAAGGAAGGAAGGAAGAAAGGAAGGAGGGAGGCAGGGAGGAAGGAGGGAGGGAGGGAGGGAGAAGGAAGGAAGGAGAAAGTAAGAAGTTACGAGTTAGGGGACTCCGTCCTTCGCTTCCCAGGAAAAGATCGCCTCCCGGGAGAGGTGTCTTCGCTTGTGCTTTTTGGGGGGGGCTGTCGGTTTTCGTCCAGCCAACCCATCCAGCGGCCTATGCGGCCATGGCGACGAACTGGGACTGGTGGGCCTGCACCCAACAGGGCGATTTCTGGCATTCCATCCGCGAGACGGTGGGAGGCTTAGATGGACAAACCACAGCTGGGGCTGTGGAGGGAGCAGGTGTAGGGCAGGGAGTGGGTTTACGCTGTTAGTAGCAGCAGGAGAGGTATCATAGAAGCGTGAAAGATCCAACGAACAGGTTTGGAGACTGCACGGCTGACATGATCACTTGGACAGGCATAGCAATGGCAAAGTGAAGCTGTGCACGGTGATATCATTGCTTCATCGTACAAGGTTTGTACTACATAGGTCCCTCCTATTACCTGAGGTACCCACTCCTAAGCACAAGTGGACCCAAGTGGTCTGAAGGTCATGACCCTGTTCCATCCTATCCCGATTGCTTCCGGTGTGGGCGTGGTGAGGCTCGTTTCATGATGTACGAGGAGACCAGTGGGTCGCCTCAACTGGGGGGGCAGGTCGCTGGTGAAAACCAGGTCATCCGGCGGCTGCGTGAGCGCAGATGCTTTCACTTGGTGTCTTCGTTCGGCCAGACCAATCCAAACGTTTTCAGTGACGAGGACCAGACATTTCTCCAGTATGACGGCATTCCGTTCGCACTGCTTCTTCCATCAGTTCTTGGCGACCCCAAAAAGAAAGGAAGAGCCTGGTTGACCCAGACCGCCACCTCGAGGCCCGGTTCGCACCTCGTTGAGCCGTCTGGCTGGCTTGCTCCCGGTGCCTTCGGTGCATTGAGCCGTACTCCGAGCGGTTTTCCCATGTCCCGGGTCCCGGGCGGCCGAAAGGTGGTGTTCAAGGGCAAAGATGGGAAGCCCCCTGGTACAAGGGTGAATGGTATCGGGCACCGGTTCAAGCCCCCACCAGGTGTACCATTGTACCATTGTTCAAGGGTGTATCTCCCTTTGGTTTTTGGAGACTTTTGTGAAGTAAAAGAAGTGTCATCCCTGGTACAATGGTACATCCTTTGCAGTGAACACATGGATGAAAGAAGGAATTTCAGCGGTTTGGTCGAATTCTCGAAGCCAAGGGTCTAGAACTCAGGCGATCGAGTTGTCTGGGATTTTTGAGGGCGAACATCTCTCCAGCTCTCGACTGGATGCTCATGAGAAGTTTATGCATAAAGAGCGGAGGTGCAGGTAAGGGGCCATGGCTGAAGACTTCCAAGCAAAGCCTGCCTACACACAAGAATCCAACATTTAATGGACTTCTTTGTTCAATAAGGATTCAATAAGGATTCAATAATTCCCAGGCTCCAATTCCCAACCGTTTTTCGGGACTGGGGTGTCTTTCCACCAGCTCCTCTTCAGGAGGGGCGGCCTGCAGCCTTAGCCGTCGGAGCCGTGACCGGTCCTGCGGTCCGAACCCAGGTGTGGCAGTCTCGAGAAAGCGGGCTTTCCAACGACGCTTTGATTGAAGCGGGGCAGCCCTGTCCTGCAGGCACCCGCGGCACCGGCACCTGCCCTGTCCTGGTTGGAAAACCACATCGGGGCAGGGGCAGGGGGGGCAGGGGGATGTGGGGGGCGGGATGGTTCTCCGTTCTGAGTTGAGCCTCAGGCGGCTGAGGTCGAGGTACTTTCGCGGTTTGCGAGATCGGCCCCCTGAGATGTTGGAGTGTGTGACGAGTCAGTGGATTCTGCCACTTGAGCAGAGAATTTCGTTCATTTGGCACCAGATCCCACCCAAAAACCATTCAATCAGCTCCAGCAAAAAACAAAACATTATCAATCCCGGGCTGAACGGGCAGGTGAGATTTTCTTCATGCTGCTGGACATCATTGTTGTCTGGGCCCAAAAGCGTTCACCGGAGAGCTTTATTCACTGGGTGACATTTGCTTTTCTTCAAGGTCAACACGGGGATGATCCGGGAGAGCATGAAGCCAGACGATAACATCATCGAGCACCTCGTTATGAACTTTCAGGCTTTGATGGATGTGCCTGTGCGTATGGCCTGATTTCTTGTGAAGTTGCATCATTGTTGAAGCTCAATATCTCGGACGTGTTCAGAATTCCAATCAAGGGGAGTTGTGGCATGCCTTGATCTTGGAAGTTCCAGTCACTCTGCCCCAAGTAGACCTGGGTGTTTTGACGTCCCTACCCCTAAGGACCGACACGATCTCTTTGGTTCCCTCACTCAAAATTTTCGTGCTCCCCCTTAAAAGAACCGGATTTGGACGCTCCTCCCGGCACTGAGTACCAGCTCCTTGCTGAAGACGCTGGGAGTCTTGCAGGCGCCGGTCGCGTCGGTGTCGAATGTCGGAATCTGGCAGAAGATTGTGCAATGAAGCAGTGGTTTCCGGTTCGGTTAGTTGGTTTCTGGGAGGACCAACACCCATTGGTTTCATAGAATGGTTGCAGGTGGGCCAACCAACTCCAGTTATTACAATCTCCGACCAAGTGAGAAGATCATCCACATAGCGATTTGTTTGGCTCATAGGGTGCACCGCATAGCAGACCGGACTAGAAAGGATCCTCTGTTGGAACTGTGCCGCCATGCTTGCCAGACTGAAGGCCAAGCTGTTTTGCGAAAGGACAACGCTTGACATCCTGGGGTCCAAGTTGAGCAAATTCGACGTGAGCTTGCTCCCGAGGTGCAGGAGGGCTAGAAGTTCAGAAAGAACAGTGCTTTTGGTCGATGCAGATGCGCACAGTATCGAAGAGATACAAAAAGCGATGAATCAGTTGAAAGGTCGGGTGGCTATGGGTGGCAAAGTTGAGGCAAAGCTTTTCGCTCCACCTGCAAGAGCTGGAAACAAGAAGTGGGGCCGACTTCTGTCAGAGCCTGATGTCAGCTTCGTCCCAGTTTTGCGTTCAGACAGCTCGTAAGAAGAACCCAATGATGCAGCAATTTCATCAGCAATGCACGTGATTTCAACTAGCAGCGTTGTAGACCGCATTGCGCTATTAACATCAGACGCAGGTTTCATCAGCACTATCCTCAAACTCAAGGCCACCAACTTCATCATTTTCATTCCAGAGGACAAGCCAGGTGTGATTCACAAGTACACTACTCAAGGATTAGAGGTGGTGAAGCTGGAGACCCTTCGCAAAGATCCTGGCTCGCGAGTGCGTGCTATCCTTCATGGCGATGGAAGTGGCTCAGTGCAGCTTGAGGATCCATTTTGGCCGGCTGCTGGTGGAGGAGATGCTCCGCAGGTGGAGATGGTTCGTGGCTTTTTAGCAGACTTAGGATATGGCCAGGATCAACTGTCGCTTGTGCCAGCCTGCTCCAAATTTTGGTTTGCAAATAGCCTGGGCAAACTCACCGTGTTTCCGGGTTTCATCCCAATACTTGCGGTACATGACCTCATTGCTCGCTCTTCAAAGACAACCCACTCTTGGGCACCATTCAGTGGAGACTTGGCCTTTGTGCTCCCTATCTCTCCACTTGGAGGGAACAGCAAGTGCAAATTCCAGACTTACGGGAGCCGCACAGCCAGATCTGTATTCAAGGGTGGTGGCCCAATGATGCTGAAAGATTCCAAAGATTTGACACTGCGCTTGCTGAAGACTCTTGGGTATCTGGATGATGATCTGAAGGTTGATGAATACGAGGCTTTGTTCATTTTTGCAAATGCAACGCACAACAAGAAATCTTTGAGGCAGTTGGAGCTGCTGCCGGATCCTTCAGACCGTAGTCAGGATGTGAAAGAGAAGCTTCGAGCCGCAGTCATGTCTCCAGCATGTCCCGGTCAGTGGCAAATCTGCGAGGAAGATGGTGATGCGCTGGTAGCGCGTATACAACAGATCTTGTGGAATGAAAGACTCATTGCCAAATCAAAGCATGGTTGCACCCGTCAGGAAATTATGAAACCGATGGAGGCCTATGTCAAGAGGTATGACTTGATATCCATGAAGTCCTTCAATGCGCTTGCATGTCAAATCCAGCATCACAGTGACAGGAGTCCAGACAAGAGATCCATACTCCATTTCGAGGGATGACGATCCGCCGTCATGGGGGGTCATGTGCGAAAGAACAGTACCATCAGTCAATGCGCCAGTCCTTTGCTCTGAGAGCCATGACCTTTGCGACAGGAAGTTTTTCTTGAGGGAATGGATTGGAAAACGAGTCTTCCAGCGTGTAGTATGCAGTTGATGTTTTGCTAGTATATAGCCGTACATAGTTGCTTGAACCGGGTATGGATCTAGGAGAGGCTTTGCACAGTAAATTGAACAAGATCCCGGTGTTGTGACACGTCAGGGCGCTGTTCTTTGGGAGACTGAGGAAGCTTTGGTGGACACCAGGCAGCAGGTATGCTCGCAAGAGGTGAACATGTTTATTGTTTATCTCAAATAAACAAACAAACACCTTTCGAACATAGATGGCGCAAGGTACCAGTCAGGCTGCTTTGGACTGAATCCCCATCCAACGTATCTACTCAGCTTACCCTTTGCATGGAACATAAATGATGCTCAGCAGGTTAGCCAGCTATGGCTCAAGTGTATGCAGGCTTGCTTGTGAACATTGCTAAAAAGCTTGCAGTTCAATCTTCACAAGCACGCCGCACGCACGAAGCCCGTTCTTACTTCAACCAGCTAAATACGAACATCATTCCCCCGGGATATATTTTTCTCGCTAGACAGATTCTTTCAGCTGTCGGTGGTGAAACCAAGTCTGGCGAACTGGCGGCCAACTGGAAGAGGCACTTAAGACCAAGAATCGCATTCCAATATATATATATATATGAATAAATATATAAATACATAAATAACTAACTACATACATAAATACATAAATACTATAAATGAATGAATCAATATATATATATAGATAGATAAAAAATAAATATATGCATTACTTACATAATATGTATATACACACACAACCACCAAAATACAAGGGAACCCCGTCGAAATCCTTTGGCCTGAACTGGTCCGAGAGAGGGTTGATCTTTGGTGAGGGCCACACTTCCCACAGCAAGAGAGGAACAAGAGTATGTTCGCACCAAGATCGTGTCAGGTTCGGATACCCTCCTTTGAGGTGGGCAGGGATGGCTTGGAGAAAAATCCTGCACACAAGGTGTTAGTTTGTTGATCAGCTGCAGATTTCTGTTTTGCCATAAATGTGGGTGCACGTGATGCCATGTTTTGCAAGTAGCATCACAGACATCACAGGCATCAGTTTGTGTTGTCAGAATGAGTTGTTGAACAATGGATCTGGAGGGTTCGCTTGACTTTTGGGCCATACAAGTGATAAAGCCAGGCCTTGGCTTCGCTCGATGGTGTTGCGGTAAGGTTGGCCCATCAGGTGGATTTTAGCCTCTGCAAGCGCGAAAGCCCAAGGACATGGGGATGAGTTGAAATCTATTCAGGAATGGAGGGGATTAACATTCATATACTGTACATATTACATATTTCAGTAGGTGCTGGAGGTTTTACTTCCATCCGCATAGTTGCCTCAGCTACGTTCAACACTGTGCAGGCCGTGCTGAGTTCAGGGTGGCCATTATTCGGCTTGTGCCTGGGCTGCGGGGGAGGTGAGACTTAAAAATGAGCTCTTCGCGGATTGGGGACGACTCTTAATGTCATGTCCTCCTTTTTTTAACATTTGGTGATGTTTGCACGAAATACCGGAGCCTGAAGAAGCGCTTTATCCTCCGGTGGAGAATGGACTCTTCATACCAGCTTTTGCCTCTCTTGTTTGTCCCATTATCCATCGGAAAGATGAAAAAGAGGAACTCTCCAGTCGGCAGCGGGATCCACTCCACTTCAAAATGGGCTCCACTCCACTCGGTTTCGGTGCGAGTTTTCCATGTCACGACAACCCCTTAATTACTCTATACCGTCCGGGTCCCGAATCGCTCGCTTTTTTGCTTCAAAAAAACGCAGGGGCTGACAGAGCTTTGCCTTCCGACCCCCTTCGGAAGGCTGGTGATCCTACAAGAGGGCCTCTTTCAATTGGGCCGTCTAGCTGCCCAGCAGTCGGTCCAGATGCTGCGGCATTGGGGCACCATGGCGAAGGTCTGTGAGGAGGGTAGAGGGCGCCCCGCTTTCTAAGCTAATGAGCCGTTTTTTCTCAGTCAGAACATGTCAAGCTGTAGCATCCAATAGGTGTTGAGAATCCTCAAACAGCCTGTTCAATCGATTTTGTTCGGTTCAAATTTTTTTTTGAAGGGTCACTTGGCATGTTCTTTCCAGCTCAACAGGCTGGTGGTCCATTGATGAGTGGTAAGCTGCACAGCATGGGTCAAGAGTCTTTTGGTTGCTGTAGAGCTCTCGTTTCTTGCTTAGATTTCCGGTTGTGGTTGCTGTCATGCTTGTTTTTCACACCTTGCATCCCCAAATATGAAGCTCTTCCAAGAAATGAGCCTGGTTTAAATTACTAGAAGTTCTTTTTCATTCTTTTTCTCTTGTATCTCTAGTACACAGTATGTCGGAGGTCTGTTGAGCCCACCAGGAGGCGCTTCCTTTGCATGCCGCGCTGAACGCATGGCTGTACACCGATGTCCCGGGCGGCGACCTGTTGTCACTCGGGCGGCACCGACGAGGGCGGCCCCAGAGCTGCAGATCGGTTGGGAGGCTAAGCTTTTGGGGACAGAAAACCGAAAAACGCCCGTCCTTTTGCGCAGTTGGTGATTGGTGTTTTTCTTTTTCTGGGGGGGAATGATGCAAGTCTGGTGCTTCCTGGATTGGCTGGTGCTTGTGGGTAGGCAATCAGGGCACTCAGGGTGTAGGGCCGCCTATAGGGTGGCCATGGGACTAGCCACCTGCATTCCCTGCATTCGTCGCATGGTACGTAGCTTGCACCCACCTCTCGTGAGCAACCTCGAAACCATGTGAATGGCAAGGTTCAAGAAAGTAAGCCTCGACAACGTTTGTATTTTTTCCCACAGATAGCGATAGCTATAAGGGTTCTTACTTCTCAATGACTGGGTGCCTGTATTCCGTTTTGGTTTGCCGGTGTAATTGGATGCATCTGCGACTTCGTGGTCAGATGAACATGACGGCCTCAGAGACTGGGGAACAAGCAGGGGAGCCCATTGATGAGGCACCGTACATTCTGCTGAATCTACTGAGTTCCAAAGACTCTTCTGCTCGCTAAATCGCTAAAATGAAAACCCACTCCTTACCTGAAAAGGATGGTCTTCAGAAAGCTCATTGTGCTAGTAGTGTAGATTTCTAGATGTAGACGTAGACTGTAGTTACTATAGTTCCTCAGTTGCTGAGGGTTTCAACGTCTCTTTCCCTTCACCGCTCCATGCGAACGCCGGAACCATCACCGCCAGGCCCCTGCTGCCGCCCGGTACACGGGCGATGGCCCTGCGTGGCTGGCGGCGCTGGGCCTCGGAGCAACTGTGCCACGAGGATCCAGGCGCCACTGCTGATGCTTTGCGGTGGGAGGGTGGAGAATCAGGGGGATGCAATGGCGGAGTTTTGGGGTGAGCTGATTGCTGTGGTCTTTCTTTGGGGGATGTTCGGCTGGGTGGAATGAACGCCAGTTCGTTCAGTGCAAGGGATTCTTTTGAGGGGTCCAAGGTGTCATGGTGCTAGGGGTGGCAAACGGGCAAGGATTTGAGATTTCTTCGAGACCAGCAAACAAGTGGGTGCCTTTTTGATGTGCCAAAGGAGGTTCTCATTACTTTTTAAAGTGGTCGAGTCATAGGGTTCGGAATGTATCGAGCCATTTCCAAAACAGGATCAACAGAACTATGAGTCAGTTCACCCTTAAAATCACCAAGTCTTTATCAGCAAATAGATTACTGGGTGTGATTCAGGTTTGCCTTGGAGTAGGGAGACTCGCCAAGCAGATCGAAATGGGCTCCAAACGCACGGAGCCCCAAAGCATAGGTTAAAACGACCAGGTCATTGGAATCGAATGCAAAAGACACATCTTGCCTGTCCTGGTCGAGAAATGCCCACATCCTTTGATGCGGGATTTCTTGCTGAGTACCTCTCAGACCAGACATGCCTGAAATTGACATAGAAGACCATCGACATAGAACTTCATCATTTGGTAGAGGAACGTAGTGTTGCCCAGGAGGGCTGGAGAAGGTACCTTCGATGGACACTCCATCCTACAGAACCTCCAAATACCTGCAGTGGCTGATGTGATTTGATAACACCGGAACTTTGGGAATCTCCAGTCTCTGTAGCTTCTGCAATCTCTGTAGCTTGCAATGCTTTGGAGAGGTCGGTCACCTATGTCCGTCAGCATCCTTCCATTCCTTCCGAGCCTCGAGTGTCGCGCTGGGAGGAGCTGCGGCTGCAGCGCGCCTGGTTGGCAGCGGTCTTTTACCTGAGCAGAACGCCACAGGCGTCGCCTTTCTCGGTATTTCGATTCCTCGACGAAGATGGGCTCTTGTGTCGCGTTCGCGTTCGGGGAATGGTTCTGAAAATCAGATGTCCCAGTTTGGACACTGGAGGCACCTCCAAATGTTTCCTGATCCACGAGCTCTAAAGGTATATACTTTGACTTTGACTCACTAACACGAAAGTGAAAAACCCGCTGTTTGTAGAGGACAGTCTTCCAGGGTCATTTTTCACTTCCATGTGATGTGTGAGTGTACCATCGACCCGGTCGTTTTCTTTTACAAAGATCGATATCCCAACCGACATCCATGGTACATCCCAGAAGATCCAGTTGTTCATGTTGCGTTCTCATTGATCGAAGCTTTTGCTGTGACTTCCGGGAAGCTGTGGTGGGCAGAGTTCCATGCAGAAAGCATGAACCCACACAAGTTGGTGGAACTTAGTGGTTTGCCTGTAGATGGTATACCTTAGATGGAATTGACCATCCCAACTCGTGGAATCCCCAGAGTTGCAGCCAACCCAAGTGGGACGTCTCTGTGTGGACTGGACATGCAGCCCCCCGCGAGGCATCCGTGCTCGTTTTCAGATCGAATGATCGAACGGTAGACCCAGGTGAAGGAAGAATTGCTTAACTATCTGACCCCCCAAAAAAAGCACCACAAGGGGTTTTGACAATTTTGATGCACAAGCCTTGTTTCTTCAGCAGCAAGAGGCTCTCAAGGGATCTTGTTGTTTTGGGGGTTTCTTTGCCTTTGCAAGAGGGTGTAGCTTCCCTTGAACAGCTTCCAGGCGTCAACCATGCTGCAACAAACTTGGTGTTCAGAAGTCACATAGAATTCAGCAGCTGGCACTCATTCGATATATAAGCTATATTGCAAGAACTCACCAGGCGTGTCTGTGAGATTACTTTGAGGCTCCGTGCTCTGTTCGTGGCAGCGAGCTCCGTCCTCCGTCCTCCGTCCTCCGTCCGGAACCGAGCTCCGAACGGCCCAGGCTGGCAGGAGGCATCCCGGAAGCTTGCTCGCTCGCCACGAGGCTGCCAAGGAGAGGAGCTGGGACCGGCCGAGGAGCCCGTGAACGGTGCTGGTTGGATCGGAGCGACCTCTTGGCCATGACAAGAACGGTGCCAGGGTTTCCAGTGGACGATTTTGGGGTTGAGAGTTGATGGGAACAGAGATGGGCTTGCTGTTTCCATCCCCCCAAAAGATTGTGTTGGAGGAGGTCAATGAAGGGTTTCCCTCTTAAAATACAAAGCCCACTTGAGAAAGAGGGATCGGCAGAACATCTGTCAACTAGTTTTGGAATACTGGTGTCCAAGCCGTTCTCTCCACAGCATCAGATCTGCAGTCTCTCCACATCCACAGAACAGCATTTACTGTAAATCACCCACTGGTCACTGGACAACAGTAATCATGATGATGTTGCTCCAATAGGTGCGTGGAAGATTTCGCAAGCATTGAAGCACTTTGCACATCTTTTTCTAGCTCTATCCTGCTCTATCCATCAAAAGCTAGCGTCTCTCGGGCGTCTCTCGCGGACTGCTCCGGAGCTGAGGCTGGATGACGTGCTCCTGTCCATCTCGTGGCACCGGCTCCTCTTTTCAGGCGCGGACAGCTCGTCGTTGCTTGTCTTCTTCGCTCGGACAATTAGAGATGTCACCTGTCCGGGCGAGGTCGGTTTTTGGTCTGTTTCTCCAGCCTCAGTCTAATGTTGGGGTTCTATTGGTCCCAACGAATCGTTTTGAAACTGTTTGGGGTCTATGCTGGTATGATTTTGTGAAGTGTTCAGAGCAAAAGGTGGCAGATCTTTGGCTTTGGGCAACCAGGCTGGCCCCTGCTTGCAGTACTGCATCGTCTTCAAGAAGCATATGTGCGAGAGGCCTCTCGGCTATCGAAGCCTCAATCGAACTTCGACAATGTCCATACTACAGCAGGAATGACATTCCAGAAGCTCCAATTTCTACCTATGGCTGGAATCAAACCTGGGGAACACTCAACTACCTGCTTCTGGCGGGGCAACTCGGTTGACTCGGTTGAAAGATGGTTAAGCATTGCAATGTTTAGGGTTTTGGGTTTTTTGGCCCGACGGGGATGAAGGGGAAGGTGGGACGATGTTGGTGTTTCAAGCGACCAATTTCGCCGTGACTTGGGTTTGTCCTGGGTTGTGACTTTCCATTTGCCATTATATAGGAAAGCACATTATAGAGAAGTACTGAACATGTGTTTGTGTGTGTGTGTGTGCAAAGGTGTTATGTAGAAACAACATATATATATATAATATACATATAGAGTGTAGCCCATTACCAGTAACAGTCCACAAACAAACTATCCCAATTTTTTGTATTTTTTTTCTTAGGGAGAGCTAAGGAGCTTTATATTGGGGCATTGCTAACAAGCCTTGGACATGTTTGAGTTGTTGTTGGAGTTGTTGGGGATCAGGGTTGAACAGAACATTAGCAGCAACAGCAGCGGCAAACAGACACATATCGGAACCGAAGTCGGGCCATACGTCACAACGCATGTCAGGACACAGACGGGACGTCAGAACACATTCCAGAACATGTCCCAGCCTTTGCGTTGGATGATGTGTCATATGACCTGCCTTCTTCCAAATCGCTTCTCAGGGTGGGGATTTCTCGAAGCAAAGCAATTTGTGTAACTTCTGTTTTGGATACGGGGATGTTGAGAGAAATCCACATTTGTTTTTGCAGAATTTGCGAAGTGATCAAAAGATCTGCACATTCTTCAAGTTTTTGATTGAGGCGTCCCTGAATTCTTCCACCAGTCTTCCATAGCTTCGTTGGGCAACGTAGGAAGACAGGTCGTTGGCCCCCTGCATGTTGGATTCGGGGAAACATGAACGCAGAACTCCTGCAAACGGAGTGTGACACATACACATCACCTCCTTCTCCGCGCACGTCTCCGTGGCCACCCGTGGGCCGGGGATGAGGCGCCGGTACTTCACGAAGTTGTCAGTTCTGAGGCCAGCTCCCTGCTTCCCGCACTACATTTGCACCACAAAGTTTCCAGCTCTGACGCCACAGCTCCCAGAAACTGCTTCCCATACTACAATTGTACGCCAAATATACCAGCTCTGAGGCGACAGCTTCCCGTACTACATTTGTACTACAAAGTTGCCAGTTCTGAGGCCACAGCAGAACCTGCTTCCCGTACTACAAAACTGCCAGTTCTGGGCCAGGGAGCCACCACAAGTGGCCGGAGAGAAGGCTAGTTTGAGAAAGGACTTTGCTAGCCATCATCAGCCACTCCACAGGCAAAACAAGGTACATATATGATATATATATATATACACACTGATTTCCACATTGTATTTTTATAGTTATATATGTGTATACAGAAAGGTATTTTTTAGTTGAATGAATATACTTAGATAACATTATTCTACAAACGATGTCGGCCTATTGCTGAAAGGACTGCCAGCTGGCATAGTTTCTCGGTTTGGTCCGACATTCAGACTCTGCTGAGATATGGCGGATGGACATTGTGGAAACGTGGCAGATGACATTGGAATATGATTCACACACCTATGCACTTGCATGGCCTCATGGAAGCAGTTATTAAGAAACCTGCACGAACCACAGGTAAGAGGGGAAGTTGATCAGACTCCAAGTGACATGTAATGCGAAGAGGGTCTCGCAAGTGGCCGTTGGGCCCTTGCAATTCCATGTCAATTTGTTGGAGCATCAATCACATTTCGTGGGTCCAGAAACAAGTGTTCTGTCCCCAGCATATTTCCCTTCATCGACCACAGCCCCACAGCTCCCTTTCATCGACCCAGGCAGTTTGTCGCGAGGTCGAGAGGCGGTGCGTCGGTCGTTGTTTCACCCAGTGAGTCTCATATGAGAGGTGCTCCTAGCAGCCGGGCAACATCTGTTTTGTGTTCTCTGACGAACACCACATGGGTTCGCGGCAAACGGGTTTTAAATCTCTGATGATCCATAAAAATAGTTTTTGTGTGAAGCTAAGGTTTCCACTTAATGTTTGTGAGTTGGAATGTACTTGAGGTTTGTTCCAATGGAGGTCGTCAGCAACAACGCTAAGTCGTCGTAGCTAGCAGCAACCTGATGCGGTAGGAGTTGAATCAATTCCCATTCTCATGCTGTATTCTTGGACGTACCAGTCCACAGTTTTTGCTTCACCGGACTCCCTGTTGGTGTGCATTCCAGGTCTGTTCTTTGCAATCACCACGGCGTGTTGCGGTGTCACAAGTAGTTCGGGCAGCGGCGCTCCAAGGGCTTTGAGAACTTGCGCAGGTGTCCCAGATTCGGTATGATTTGCTTATCTCATACAGGCAGTTCCCCAAAGTCGTGTCTTGAGACACATTCAGACTTGTCAATGCCCACGATGCCGTCAAGTCCGATGCCGAAGTCGATGCCGCGAGGTATGCCTATGCGATCCCCAGCCTCGCTGAGCCCGAGAGCGTGTGGGTCTGCGTGCGCCGGACGGCGGATGTGGTGCCTGGGATGGATGCGGGATGGGAGCGCCGAAACGTTGTCTCAACGTTGGGTTATGTTATGTCATGTTATGTCACAATTTGACCTTGTCAAAAGATGTGGCAGCACTTCGTAACTAATTATGTGAGTTCTTTCTATGATTGGAATGGAGAGTTGATCAGGTCTGTCGCAGCTCTGAATGAAGCTGAACCGAAGAACTCCAAGTGTGTTTCTCCCCTGTTGTGGCCTACTTTTGATGAGCTTTCCCTGCGAAAGAAAGGGTGCCCTCTCCTTGAGTCAAGAAGCGACCCCCAACTGAAATAGTGCAATTCCAAGTTCTTTGTGCCTATTTGTGTAATTCTATGACCAGGAGGCTATCTGGAATCCATCGGTTTTTGATGACCAATCCGCTGAATTCCCAAGATGTCTTACATAGAGAAAGGGCAGCTCCAGTAGTTATAAAGGCAGATGATGATACCTGCACAACTTACAAGATCTTACAAGTTTGTAGAACAACAACAAACGACTTGAGAGTCAGAAAGCTCGTCTCTCACAAGCTCTAAGAGCCCATTGCCAAGAGAATGACTCGCGCTAGCCTTTTCAGCGCTCTCTCTCTCTCTCTCTCTCCCCCGTCTCAACTTGAAGGGATCGATTCAGACGCTGTAGGGCCTACAGGGCCGATGTTGTTTTCTGACACTGTCGTTACAGCCAACGAGACGAGTTGGTGACCGCCAGCGGTTCTGGCTGGGTGCCGAATTGACGACGCCGCTCTCAGTAGTGGAGGCTGCCTCCAGCCAGGTGACCCCGAAGGAAGCAGCTGGCAGGTTTCTTGTTACATTATTGGTGTTTTGGGGTCTTCTAATCTTCTAAGTCCGTTGCAAACCGCCGCAGAAGCCCTCGCAGAAGCCGTAGGTCGACGAGCGCTGGCGCATGAAGGGTTCCTTCCCAGACTGTGGACATATCGTCCGCGCGATGCGCGAGCTGCGCTCGCAGTTGCCACTGGGCGTCGGTTTCAGCAGGGACCTGGACCCTGACCAATCTCCATATTTTTTGTAAGAAGCTGGAAACGGCGGTGTGGATGGGTGTATGTTTAGATCGTAGCGATTCGTGCAGGGCCTCGGGGCGGGGGTTCTGAGCATCTGACCCTAAACCCTGGAAAGGAACATATCTGTCAACAGCTTTTCAGTGCGCTGATCTTCCAGCTGCGAGCTTGACGTGAGCTCCAGTCCACCAGTTGACCGTGTGGTGCAGGAAAGGGTTCCGCGTGGTAATTTCCGTTCCCTTGGACGATTCACACCAGTCCGTCGAGCCGCTCCATATACTGTATTTGGCTTTGTTTTGCTGGGAGTTCCTCAACAACATGGCAGCCATAGTTGCTCCTTGGAAGTGGTTCTCCCCGAATTCCCGTCTTGAGATATCAAAGATGGTTTCCTGGCATAAGCTGGGTAAGGATCCCAAAGGTACTTGTGTGACGAAGACCTTTGTTGATGTGATTTGGTAGCTTTTGCGAACGGTCCTGATGCTCAGGTGGTGGGCACCTGCGACATAGATAGTTCCTTGTGGACTGAAACTAAAACGAGGCGCTTCTTAGATCAAGAGACTGTTGATGGAGGAGTGCGTCTCCTGCACCACCAGGATCCCCCCAATATGTGCTTTGTAAAAATTAGTCCTGGAATGAACTGGTATGAAAGGAGATAGGTGAAGGCAGGGCCAGAGCCATCAGTGGATAAGTTGTGGTTCACCACAGGAAGGAGTGAACTCAAAGCTTTTTCTGTCAGGGTTTCTGGGAGGACCAACACCCATTGGTTTCATAGAGCGGTAAGTGGGCCAACCAACTCCAGTTAGTACAATCCCCCCCACGACCAAGTGAGAAGGTGATCCAAAGGCCTTCGGCGGCCTGAAGGCAGCATGTCTCGCCGCCGAGATTTGCATGGCTCCTGGGCACGTCTGGGAAGACCTCAGACGCCATGCTTGCCACTCTAAAGAGCAGCGCCGCGCTGTTTTGCAAAAGGACATCGGTTGAGATCGTGGGGTGCAAGTTCTGCAAATTCCCCTCCGCGTGCGGAAGAGCTCAAAGTTCAGTAAGGACCGTGCTTTTGGTCGATGCAGATACTCACAGCATTGAACAAATCCGAGAAGCTCTGATGTGTTTGAGAGGTGAGGGTGGGGAGGTTCGAGCGAAGCTTTTCGGTCCACCTGGCAGAGCTGAAAACAAGAAGTGGGCTCGATTTCTGCGAGAGCCCAACATCACATTCCGTCCAGTGTTGCGTCCCGACCGCCGTTCAGACCGCTCATCAGAACCCAACGATGAGGCCATTTCAGCAGCAATGCAGGTTCTTTCCACCAGCAGAGCTGTAGATCGCATCGCGCTGTTGACCTCAGATGCAGGTTTTGTCGGAACCATCCTCAAACTCTAGGACACGACCTCCACTGGGTTTATCATTTTTGTTCCCAAACGCATGCCAGGTGTAATTGGCAAGTATACTAGCCAAGGGTTGTGGGTTGTGAAGTTGGAGACAACTAGCAGAGACTCTGGCCCACAAGTCCGAGCTTTCCTTCATTCTGATGGAAGCGGCTCAGTGGACATTGAAGATACATTCTCCGTGAATGACGTATTGAACACCCGTGAGGAGGACATTCTGAATGGCTTCCTTGAAGATTTGGGATATGCCCAGGATCATGGACCGCTTGTGCCAGCTTGTGCCAAATTCTGGTTTTCACACAGCCTGGGTACACTGACAGTGTCCCCGGGACAGCTGCCACTAGTTGCCGTGCATGAGGTCATCATGACTGCGAAGCCTCGACGAGAATGGGTACCTTACTCCGGAGAATGGGCCTTTGTGCTCCCGGTCTTTCCACGACGTCGGCAGAGCAAATCGACCATGCGGACTTGGGGAACCCCCCAGGCCAGATCCATCTTCCTGGGTGGCGGCCCTTTCATGTTGAAAGACTCGAAACAGTTGATTGTGCAAGTGCTGAAAAGGCTCGGATATCTTGATGATGATTTGAATGCTGATGAACGCGAGGCTTTGTTTTGTTTTGCTAATACACTCCACAACAAGCATACTTTGAGGAAGTTGGAGCTGCTGCCGGATCCTTCAGACCGTAGTCAGGATGTGAAAGAGAAGCTGAGAGCCGCATTTTTCTCTTATGCATGTCCAGGACAGTGGCAAGCTTTCAACAGTTCTGACGCGGCGGCGGAGGTCATACAACACATTCTGTGGAAGGAAGAGCTTCTTACAGAGTCATGGCTTGGATGCACACGTCATGAAATGATCAAACCCATGAAGGCTTATGTGAAGAGGTATCAGCTGCAACCCATGAAGTCCTTCAATGGGCTTGCATGTCAAATCCAGCACCATAATGATGAAAGCCCAACAAAGAGGCCTATGATCCAATTCAAAAGAGGATCCTGTACATCCCTTGCTGGCCAAATTTCAGTGATCTTGGTCAGGAGAGCCATGTTCAAGACATTGGAGGTCCAGCTCGAGCAGAAGAGAATCTCGGGGCCAATGGCCTGATGTGGCCTTTCTTGATTGATGTGTAACTCAGACGTAGCCTCAGATGATCATGGTTGCTGTCTCCCTATGCACTAGTTGGATCCTTTGATCTCCGGGAAGATGTGACGCGCTCAGACCGCAGAACCAGCTGAGGAGAATGAGGGAGAATCAAAACCCCAAACCGATCTGTAGGAGTTGAGTTCCAAGCATCATGTCCTGGACTGCGGGGGGGACAGTCAATGTTGAGTTCCAAGCATCCCACATCTCCTTTTTTTGGGGGGATGGTATCTGGAAGATCACTCCCTTAGCAATCCCATATCCTTTTCTTTACAAGGTCCAACTCACCACTGGCGCTTTGCTCCACGCTTGGCACCGCGGCACCGGCCGAGATCCCAGGCCCCAAAGCTGCCCCTTCGTCGATGTGGGCCCCTGGTCCTGAAGCAAATCGTTCAGTCGGAGCAGTGAGTTTGGTCGGAGCTCCTAGTAGCTTCTTGTTCCTAGTAGCGATGCCAGCAGCCCCTAGCAGCGTCCTTGCTCCTAGTAGCGATGCCCTTTGTTCTGCACGCCGCTTTCGCCCGCGACTAGAGAATCGGAGACTCCCAGCAACAAAGTTCGGGTCAGTTCGAGGGTGTCGAGACAGCTCGATGCTCCCAAGACACTCCCTGAAAATCCCAGCAAGCGCCTGCTCATGCAAGTCAAATCGTTCCACCATTTCAATATGGTCGATGACTGACTCCGAGTCATTCACATGGAAGTGGAAAACTACCACCTGTTTGGTAGGAGGAATTTCATGGCGGTCTGCTGGAAATGGGGGGGCCGAACCGCATCATTGGAAAGAGGCTTTCATTTCGGAATGGTTTGGATGTCTACCTTTTTTCTTTGACCCCAGCATCTATAGAAGCCACCTGGAAAATGTTGAACAACACCTTGGCTGGAATTTCCTTTGTTTTTGAAAGGAAATGGTCTGGGCCTGCTTGCTTCACCGGAGAAACGCTTGCTTTTCGAGCATTTGGATGGTCTCAGCATTTTGTGGAGGAATCTAGCATTTCAATATATTTCAATGGTAGGTAGGTTGGTAAACTTATTTAAAGTTACTTTGGATGGGTGTTTTCCCGGTCTACCGACCTCTACGACGGCGTAGAACTGGGCAGTTCAGGTCCGTCCGAACAGGTGCGGAGGTGTCTGAGGTGCGAATCTGGGCGGCTGCACCCTGATGATGGGTAAAGATGGTCACCAAGTCTTGGCCATCGAGGTGGGGGGAAACAGCGCTCGCTGGGTGGGGAGCAGAACGCTTTTTCTCGCTGATGGGTGGGGAGCAGATGAGAGCGCTGAACCTGAGGAACGTTTGGCAGTTTGGGATTTGCCCCCCCTGAGATCTTGTCTTCAGTCCCTCATTGGGTGACGGAAAAGACCCAGTGGTTGTATTTTCTGCTTTGCAGTGGCGCATGGGGTTACATGAAGATCCCAGCCCGGATGTGTTTTTTGTGGTGGGAGAGTGGCGCTCAAACGGTCGTCACGGTCAGGTGGTGCCGATCTTGGCGAAGCTGCTGGAAGCCTCTGTGCGACGCAACGGTCACGTGGTACAGTCCAGAAGGGCGTGGTGGGAGACGTGGGTTTGGCTCCAGGGTGTGTGGGCAGGGTGGGTGGCCGTGAGGAGCTTTTGGGAAGGGTGTCGGATGATTCCTTTTCTGCTTGTTAGGTTGGAGGCCATGGCTACTAGGTTGGAGGCCATCGCTACTAGGTTGGAGGCGTTTTTTTGTCTTTCTGTTTTGTTATTCTTTTCCCTCTGGATGTCGGATGATTCCTTTTCTGCTCGTTTCAGGTCGTCAACTTGGAATGATCTCCTAAGGGCCAAAAGGTTGCCTTGCAGAGGGTTTCCACTTTGTGGTGGTTGCCACCAGTGTCCTTTCTCCCTGTTGTTGGGATCGCTTCAATCGAACATGAACTAGTTTGTTTCATTGGGAGGGGTGGGACAAGTGCTTGGTAGTTTATACTCAGGTGTAAGATTGTTCAACTTGACCTTCGCATGACATGCCTACCATGTCTTGGCCATGACATGGCCCCAAACATGTGTCGGTCGAAGGCTCGAAGTGGAGCCTTTTTTCACACGCCTTGGACACAAGGCACTCCATGTTACTCCGGCCGCCGGCCTGTCACTATTGCTGGATGGCTAGTTTTGTAGTATCAATGTACTATCGTAGTACTACCAGCAGTTGTCCATCCTTGTTCTCATCACTCGATGACCCCAAGCTGGGAGAGTGAAATCACTCCCCGGGCCCTCCCATCTTCGTCCCGTTCCGTAAAGAATTCCCCGTCTCCGTTCGCTTCGAGTTCGCTTCGGTTTTGCCGTTTCGTTGTGAGGTCTCAAATCTGTGGAGGTCTTGCAGGCCGGACCGATTTTCACTCTGAACCAGTGAGGTAAAGCTTTGATTTTTTAAGCCCGTGGCCCTGCCTCCTTAATTGAGTAGCCATCTACCCAAGGAAATTAGGCACCAAACACGCTCCTAGCTACTGTCGCAGGATAGCTCACGTTTCTTCAAGGAAGCTTCCCCCGTTTGAGGGGGGAGCTTCCTTGAAGAAGCGCTCGCACTAATCATTTGGTTCCTATACTATAAAGATTGTTAGGGAAATGGCTAAATTTTGCTTAGTGTTCGGACAGTTCTTTGTCCACAATAGCGAAGCAGCGAAGCTTGTAACGTGTGAAAAGTGTTCGGAGGAGACATCCACGGTCCTTTTTTGCCAGTTTCCCACGTTTCCCTGAAGAAAATTGCACAAGATTTCGTGTCTCTCTGGCATGTGTAAAACCATGTGTTTGATGCTTTTCACTTCTTCCACCTTCTTTCTGGAGATTGACTCGAACCCCGCGGGACACGGGCGGTGGCCGCGGAACCGGCTGAACGGAACCAGGTGGCGGTCGCCGCCGCGGACGGCCTGCGCGGCGCGCTGCACTGCTCGGAGGGGCACAGCGCGATCTGCCGCGTGCGCGAGATCGAGCCGCTCGGAGCGGCGGAGCGGATGAGCGAGTTCGGTGGGGAGACGGAACGAAGGTGGAAGGTGGAAGGAGCTCGACCTATTTGCATCAACTCGAAGGTGGTGGAGTCTTTTTGACCTGTTCTGAGCTCGTTTCTTGTCTCTCTCTCTCTCTCTCTTTTTCTCTCTCTCTTTTCTCTTTTTGGTGTGCCTGCCCATTTTGCCACCGTCACGGGAAATGGTTGCCCCATGAACTCATCAAGCTCAAGGGTATCGGAAGGGTACGGGGAGAACTCTCATGAGATCTATTCACACCTAATTACAAACAAACACCGAGAATCACATGGCCGCCGCGGCGCAACCGGATCAACGAGCAGAGCCGAGCCGGCCACTCATGTATCGGGTTCTTGGCGCAGTCAAGTGTTGATTTCTGTGAGGTTGAAGAGCCAAGACGTTGGACGCCGGTTGCACATCTGAACCGAATTGCTGTAGACTTGGGGTTCAGCGGACGACCCACTTCTGCGGAGGAACCTTCAGTCGCTTCAACAACCCTGGTGCCCTTTTTGCTTTCCAAGGAGAGATGAAGAGGACACAAAGGTTGCGACGGTCCCTTGACTAGATCAACCAGCCGCCTCGGGCCGTCACCCAACAGGTCGCGGACGAATGCGATCGGGCTTGTTGGACCAGTTCTGAACGCCAGGGACGGACGTTTTTCGCCCGGTGGTGGGACACGAGTGGACACAAGACTTTTGGAGTTCCACGATGAAATCGCTCGCCACGGGGCTTCAGTTTTTTTTTCTTCAGTAACTAGTTGATACTATCAATTTTAGGTGGTGCAGGATCTCTGCATTCAACAGTATTGACCAACTACAGTACGTTGAGCTGCTGCAAGGGGTAAGGCAAATCTTTTTCTTACGAAGTCTACATGGAAAATCATCCAACACGACCCGTGCTCCGCTCAGATGTCGTTGGACACGATCCTGGCGGCGCGGAGCTTGGCTCCCTGCGCGGTCAAGATCGATGTCGAGGGCAGCGAGCTGGAAGTGTTGAAAGGCGAAGCCACCGGCGGGTCGATCTGGGTCGCTGGGCGAGGCGAAGCTTTTACCTGGCTCCGTTCAGTGGAGGATGGTTGCATGAATGGAGGCATCTAGACAGACATAGGTAGAACATAGACCAACCAATACCTGCTCGAAGAGAAAAGACAACAAACGGCTGGGCCAGGGGTGCCCTAGTGTTGGAATATGTTGGAATGTAGGTGTCGGCCCCCCCCCCGTACTGCCAGTCCATCCTCTTTCTGACCTTGGGTGTTCACTGTGTGCTGACACAGGTTTTGACTGACCTACACGCACCACATGGTATGTAAATGGAAGCAAAACCATCCCAGCATTGGGCAAACCTGAGTCTTTCAACAAGTTGCCTTGAGGATTTCGTTCTCCACCCGATGTTTGTGGTTCACACCAGCCCGTAGACAGCACCAGCAAGCAGCAGCCAATTCTGCTCGACTGCCCACCCACACCGTGACGCGTGACGGTTTGAGTCTGCGAAGATCCTATAGATGTTCACCCATGTTTACCCTCCACTCACTAGAGCTGGACATCTCGATGTCCCTGTTGGTCCGCTGTTGTCGCGCACGGCGTGACTCGCGCTTCTGTCGTTGTGGCCGACCGAAAGGCGCTCAGCAGACCTTGCAGTTCCATCCAAACCTCTTTCTGGAGCTCCACCCTTACGAGCTTCGCGAGCGTGGCAGCTCCAGCCACTCGGATGGAGGCGATGAAGAAGTCGCCTAAGAAGAAGCCGGAAGAAGACAGAGGTCTGTGGCTTTGGTCATACTTCTTTGCTGAGTGTAAAGGGCATCCACCGACCGACGTTGGTCTTGGGCAACACTTCTGAGGATTTTTGAGGTTTGAAATAGGAACTGCCTCATCTCATCCATGGGTTAGAAGAGAAAGTAGACCAAAACCGTTGGGCCAGATGGGTCCTTGTGCTTGAAAGAACCCCCCGTTGTAGGATGGATCAAAATAAGCTCTTCACAAACTGGGTCCCTTCCGGGCGAAGGTTGTGGGGCAAGGCGCACTCTCAAGGCTCATCTACTTCTGCCCGATCTGAGCAACGAACCGATGCTCATGGTCCTTCTGAGACGATCCATGCGACAAACATGAGGTCGAACGAAAGCAAGAGTCACCTAATTATGAGGACAAGGCAGAACCCTGTGAACTGTTGCGAGAAAGAAGCAACATCTGAAAAGGGACATAGGGTTCACCTGCAGAGTCTGTCATTGTTTGTCACAGCAAAAACATGTCGCAACCATGAAAAACATGTCGCAAGCTCGTCCAACTCTGTGTGGTGTCATGGCTGGATGGGTCAGCAACACCCCCAAAAAAACCTCCCACCCCCCCGAAATGCTTTACTGTAGACAATATGATGTCCGCTCATGGGGAGGGTTAGTTAGGTGAGTCGAGTTGTCTCGTGGACGTCCACAAAGACTGAGCGAAGAGACACTTCGGACGTCCGTCCGGGGGGGTGTTGGCTCGGGTGGTGCCCAAAGGCTCATCCTGAGCCACCAGAAGTGGGGGTTTTCGATTTGGTCCGACCCGCAGCATTCAGATCCAGAAGACTTGCCGTTTTTCATCGTTTTTCGTTTTTCCCTTTTTTCGGCGCTTCACTGAGGCTCTGAGATCTTCGATCTCCTGATCGCGAACGGCTACGACATGTTTGAGAGCCGCTAGTTAATTTATCCGTTTTTGAGTCGAGTAGTCCCCGTTTTGTTGGGGGGATAGCTTGCGGACAAGCCAGTCCTCATCAAGAAACGAGGTGATTGGCATGTCACCCTCAAGGAGGCAAAAGTCGTTCCAGTTGAAGGATGTATTGCAAGTCAGCTGCTTACTTGGGAAGATTTAGTGAATCGTGGGTTCCAGATGTCCATGATCCACCTTGGCGCGGGTGTAAAGGCGAAGTCCGAAGGTGACTGTGATGATTTTCACTTTGCCAATTGATCAGCACAAACTTGGTGCTGGGAGCAGATCCATGGTTCACCTCTGTTTTGGGTGAATCATGAACAATCCAAGAATCCAATCAAGTCAAGTCGAACAAGCACGGCCCCATATTTGCAGGTGTCTTGGTCCCTTTTCGACTACACCTCAACGGTTCATAAGTCCAACACCTCGCAGCGTCCCAGGCCCAAGCTGCCAAGACGCTCCTTTGGATGGACGGGATCTTTGGCGAGGGAGCCTCGGAACAAAAGACGCATCACAGTGTGAGTTCCGGACAACGGCCAGAGTTTTGGGCATCTTTTGACCGGATTTGAGCAGCTTTTCTGGCTATGAACTGTTTTGCCTTTTACATATACGTATATATATATATATCTATCTCAGAACCGTGCCCCGCCGTGGTAGGCCGCCCGAACCGAAGCAAAGGCTTCTCCTGAGTCTTATGATGTGCAGTAGAAATCGAATTCGTAGTCGCAGCTTGTGAATGATTGGGCTGGTCTCTGGGCAGAAAGGAACGGCACCTACTTCAATGTTCACTGGGCCAATGCAGAGCCCCTGCCGCGGACTCGCCTACCAGTGATTCCAGATCACTGTGCGTGTGTGTCTTGGCATGTGATGAGAGGACATGAACATGGAGGGACAGACTGATTCCGTAGGCACTCCCAGGGTTCTTTGCGATGGCTCATTATTACCAAGTTCGTTGAGGCAAGTTCGAACCCGCGACTGAGAATACAAGAGCTGAGTTTGCACTTGCTTGGCTGGGCGGTTCACGGATAGTAAGAAACACATCTGGAGGGTCAAGCAAAGGTGCCTGAAGCCTCCAGCAAGTCTACTCTAGTTCTTTCGCGGTCGCTAATCCTAGAAAGACTCGCTAGGGTCCAAATGGTTTAGCCGTCAAAACAACATGGTCCAAGGATACACCCACCGACAAGTTGCAACATTCACTGTCTAAATTTATTGGGACCCTTTGGACGTGCCCGGCGTGCGAGAATTTCGGGAAGATAGACACACCCACACACACCAACACACACACACATCAGTGGTTGGGGATTCTGATGATCCGTGAGATTGGTGTAGAAAACACGTCGCTGCGTTCTGGACACAGCCGGAGGGCCCTGTGTGGTTTCACGGTCGGAGGGCCGGTTGGGGCTGGCATGGCCTCTTGTGTAAGTCTATAGGGTTGACACGTCCTAAAGTGCTTTTTCAGGTTTCGATGTTGATCCAAACTGTTCAACCCTGACTTCACATTGTTCGCCCAATTTGCACCTCATGACTCATGACTCGTCACCCACTGAAGTCAAAACCTCAAGTGGCACATCCAAGTGCCTTCCATCCAATGGTCACTGTTCCTAGTTACTCCAACTCTGTCTCCCCACTCACAGGAACTTTCTCGCAGTTCCATGCAGTTCCCAGTGTTACGTACTCCTGGTCGAAGACGTGACTGCCGGTCTTTTCTTTACGCATCGAACGTGTCCCAAAACGCCCAGGAACGGGAATGTCATCTTCGACTGCTGCCGACCTCCTCGACGTCCGGCCGACACCCCAGCGGCGACTTGTTGCGGAGCGAATGCGACGTCGTCGCCCGTGTCCCGAGGAATTAACGGCGACTGTCGGTGCTGGGACTTCAACCCAGCAAGTGGGCTGTGCCACTCGGCCGGACCGGAGATTTGCAGGGGATTTGTGGAAAGGAGTCTTGGTAGTTCGTCTTGAACAGGTTCTTCTTGATTTGATGAACAGTTAAACCTAAACAACCTGAAAGGAGATTTCCAGACGACTCCTGGGCTTTAAAAGTCGATCTATGATGGAGTCTATTCCTTTTTGGGGGGGGCGATTTTCGCTTCGGTCGGTTTGCTTCTTTTTTGGTCTGATTCAGCCTATAGCAATCTGATGGATGATGGATGCATGAACCGCCGCCAAACGCAAGACACTGAAATGGACTTAGCGGCAGTCAAACTCACATAAAAGCCTCCCGACGTATTCCAACAGAAGCAGGCAGTTGTCAGGCTGATCCGGTCTTTTGTCCTTTACATACCCCCTTAAGGACTTTCTCCAATCCATGTTCCAACTGACAGGCACTCTCTACAGGAGCTCCTTTGGCTGCACTTCCGGGTTCAGTGTTGGCTTCTGACCAGCACTGTCACAGGGACTCAGCCTCAGGTTAGCGCACTGACCGAAGACTGCACGAGTAGCCCCAAGCAATACCGTGGGCATCCATCCAGAAGACTAAATGAGAGAAAGGGGCAAACCTCCTGTTTTTTGGGGTTTCGCATGCTCCCCGTAACATCGTCTTCTTGACCTGCAATGCAGGTTTATTCAAGTGCGATCCCGGTTCGTACCTCAGAAGCAGGGGTACCTCATATTCCATGACCCCTCAAAAACAGCTCGTACCAGGAAACACCCACACGTGGGGTCCGTGCTGGACACCGTCTTACGCGAGTGAAAGCCACGCGTGTCCGGGACACGGGCTCGCCACGTGGAGCAGGAGTGGCGGGCATGGCCACATAGACCAGTTCGTGGCTTCTAAGAAAGAAGGTCACCACAGGATGGCAGAAACATGTCGACCGTTCCAGAACACTTCGAGTCTTTGCCTAGGTTGTGGCCATGAGCTACAGGACTTGGAGCCACAAGAGGGATGGTGGGCAGGAGAACTCACGGGCAATTGGCACATCTTCGCAGATCCAAAAAGGGACCGAGCTGCTTGAGGGTGTTCGTCCGTGAAAGTTCTTCACGCCGCAGGCAGCAGCGGTTCGCAAACAAGCATTGCAGCATTACTGTAATTCCTTTTGCTGGCAAGAGCGGTTTGTGCTGATGGGCAGGCGGCGGCAAAGGAAGCACATTTAGTGGAGCATGGGGTCCTCAAAATTTGTGCCTCAATGATTGTGTTGGTTTCAATCAGCATGTGCAAGTTGCTTGTGTTCGCTTGCGAGCAAGTAGGATCTGATAACCGTCACGTGTATTCTATTCTTGCAAGTGCCACAGGCGGTCAGGCTTTTGATTGCTTGTGGTCCGAGGCCTCTGAATTTGCTCTCCTGGTTTCTGTTTTCTTCCCCACCCACCCTCCCTGCTGTGTCCTTAGTGTACGGGTCAACCTTGGCTCATGGGCTGATGGTGCCTGAGAGGACAGGTGGGCCGGTTTGGCTTCACCAATCAACAAGTGCACGCCTAAGGGGCCAAGGGGCCTCCGTTCGGTGACCATGTCGACGTACTTTCTGGCTTAGATCCAACACGTGACATGGGAAGCACCACTTGTGCCGGTCGTCACGGTGATCTTGTGCCGGTCTCCGCCCACTGGATCCGTTTCCGGGGCCTCGTAGTTACGCAGGTGCGAAGTGAGCTGCTTCCTTCGCTCAAAGGAGACCCAGTATGAGTTGAACTGAGAAAAACCCATGACGAAGAGGAGCCATTCGCGGTCCCTATTTCATGCTTGGCACTTCACAGTTGAATCCAGTATCCTCCTACCCGCGGATGGTGCGAAGAGCCATTCTGCAGCCGAACCTGACTCCAGAAAAGCCTTGCATTTAGCATTTTGCGTCACCTGGCTGGCCCTGTTTTGGACGTTACATTTGGCTCCTCGTTGGCTCGAACATAGTTGCCGGTGGACGGTCGTTTTGCTGAAAATGCTGGCAGCAAACTCAGTGTAATCGATTTTTGTTGTGAACGGAAAACACGGAAGATACGCGAGTTGCCGCGACCAGAACTGTTTGAGCATCCCTTGAGCCCGTCTGTTTTGGACTCTAAACCTGTGGATAAATTGCGAAATTTGTGGTGGTATTGGGTATATTAGTGATGTAAACATGGAGCCCAATCTTAGCCAATCTTCATAGTTTCTGCCAAAACTGCGATTGAACTCCTCTAGCCCATGTGGTGCTGAGGTCCAGTGAGCATTGGGGGGGAGCCCCCCCCAAACTGTCTCAGCTTAAGGCTTCTGTGGGCGACCTCAGCTTCAAAGGTGTCACAAATCACGGCCAGTTCTCGCGACTTTTTCAGCCATCAAGACAGAAGGACTCAGGGAACATGACCTAGGAACCGCAATGAACCGTATGTGAAAACACCGTCCCTTTTTCCTTTTCGTCCTCTGAAAAAGCCGGTCATTGGCTCGGGAACTTGAACTCCCTGGTGCTTCCCCCATCGCTCGCGGGACGCCGGCGTTTCTTCGTCGTCGGTCGTCCGTTCAGCCAGTTCTTAGTATATAGATACTGTACCTGAGAGTTTGGTGGAACCTCACAGGATGAATAGGACAGTTTGGAGAGGACCTTGCTTAGGGAGGGGCTTAGGAGGGACAGCTTTTTGCTTTAGGGATCAGGACTTCAATGTTCTTCTGCAATTGGCCTCAAAGGCTTAGGGCATGTCAAAGCACATTTTGGTGAGATCCTGGACGATCCTGATCCAGCCGGTCTCTGAAATCTTTCGGTCATCCGTCGCAAGGTGTGCACCAATGTGCACCCGCTGGGCCAGCCACTTTGCTTCTCGTGCGGGTCTCAGCGACGGGCGCTACCGGTGACATGGAGGGCTTTGTCATGGCGGTCCCTCGTCGAATCGACTTCGCAGACAGAGCACCCTGACACATGAAGAAACACATCAAGTTCACTGGCTGCCAATCCTAAAGGTAGGGAGTTCTGCGGCCTTCAGGTCACTTCCCCCCCTTTAGGGGGCCCACGGCTGCCCACTCCGAGGCTTCGCTGTGCGCGGGAGGTCGTCCAGCGGCCAGGTCCATGCGCCGGGGCCCCGAATGACGTGACGTGAACTCCTTCGAGTCGAAGGGAACCCCGTCGAAGGTTTGGAAGATGGTGTTCTAAAAGCTCTGAAGAGTAGAACACAAACCTTGGGAGGTGAAGAGAAAACTGGGAGTGTTCCAAAACTGGGGAGAAAAGGGAGTTTGAAGAGCAAAAGCTGGCCAATCTCTCCAACGGTTTTCACTGTTTCCAGGATGCCGGAGGTTTTTTTCTTAAAGAGACAGGACGTACATTCAATTCATAGTTTGTCCATGAAATCTTCAGGTTGCGCGGGGTGGGTGTCACCCCTGCGGAAATTCCCCCGAATCTGCATATGTATTATATATATATATATTATATATATACATACACACATCACCTTTCAAATGCACTGGTCACGTTCAGTGTTTCCGATCCAAGAACTCATGCTGCTGAAAAAGTGCTTTAGGGTACAGGAGAAAGTCCAGTTGTGCAGGCCCATCGGGGCATGGCATGAGCTGAAAACCTCGGGTGGGTCAGCGCAGGAAAGTGACGTTTGCAAAGAGCTGAACCTGACACCAGCTTCTTCAAAGTGGCCTTTCAAATAACATCCTTTGAACAGACCCGTCTTTGGCCATTCCAATCCAGTAGAAAAAAACACCAAAAAAACCGCTGGTTCATGAAGCGGGCACCGCCTCCCAGCGTCTGAACCTTCGCCGTTTTCGACCTTCCCAGGTGGTCGTTCCGGGCGAGGCTCGCGGTCTCCTCTTTGGCGCGCGACTCGCGCGAGTCACGTGAGCTCCATGAGCTCGTCGAGGCGCGTGGGCGTGCGACTCGCGGCGGTTTAAGGAGCGGAGCTTTTTCTGAAAGCTGCAGGTCCTGCAGGTGAGAACAACCACCCTAGTAGCGATGGCCTCCAAGTGATGCGGGGAGCAGAGTTTTTGTTTTTGTTTTGCG